GTCCAGATAGTCCTTCTGCAGCGTAGCATCCAGAGCCTGAAGGAGCAACAGCAGGTGCCGACACCTCTCCTTCCCTGCAGCGTTGCCAGGGAGGAAGGAGAGGGCAGGGGAGGAAGAAACGCGATGGTTATCTTGCCTAACGCTCCTGTTGCTTCTGTGCACTGCTTCCTGCCGTTCTCAGGAGGAGATAGACAAGACAGAAGAAATGGGGAAGGCTGTCTTAGAGGAATTGGAAGAGAAGGCACGGGCGGAACAAGAGGCACTATTACAGAAAGTCGTGGAGGTTTGTGGAGTCCATGTGACGTCCCAGCATGGGGGATCAGTTTCTGGGTGCTGGGAGGCAAGGCAGGGGCTTCCACACATTGCCCATTAGCAATAGCATGGTGCAGCCAGCACCCAAAGAGTAACAGAGCATCACTGCTCCCCTCCTGATGCCGTACTGGAGCTGTTTGTCAGGCTGGGAGGGTACATGAGAAGCGCTTCTGAGTCGCTGCTGTAGTCTGATGTGTTGAAATATTAGACTCGCTGCTGAGAGTTTGCTGCATGGAGGTGAGTGCGCTGTGACCCAGCGTTCACCCTGCTTTTATGGTCCCTGTTTTATTACATTATTTAGGTAGCTGCTTCGCTAATTGGCTGCGACACCGCTGTGGCAGCGCACATATGTTTGTAATAAATTCATGAGGAAATTAAGCTATATGCAGCACTACAAGAGCAGGGACTGCTGTCGTTCTTCCCAAAATAGGAGGAACTCTTGTTGCACGGTTCCTGCTCGCATGATGTGCTTAGCACTTTTCCTGGGTTAGCAGCTTGAGAGCACTAAGAAAATATTAATTACTGGCTCCATTTACAGCCTGCTCTGATGTAGAACTGCTGTGCCCTTTTACAGGTGAATTCATAAGCACGGGTGATATAAGTAACCCAAGCAATATTAATAAGCTTTCCCCGGGAAACTGAACTGGATGTCTTGAGTTCCGCAGTCTTGTTCCACGATCAGCACAATGTGATCTCAATGACAGGCTCTTTCTAGAGCCGGAGCCCAAACCTTTTTCGAGCAGAAACTGTTTTCTTGAAGAGTGACACATCTGGACACAGCCGGCAGTGGCAGCCGGCAGTGGCAGGGTTTCATGCTGGTGGTTACTGGGGGGTTTCTTCAGCTGGTTTTCTTCTCTTCACCCACACAGGAGATGTTGCTGCACCAGGATGGCCTGAAGCAGATGGTGATAAACAATCACGTTCTGCGATGTGAAATACTGAGGCAAAGGGAGGTGAGTGAGCTGGGGAAGAGCCAGCACAGTGCAGCAGAGCCAGCCACCCTCAGCCCTTGCCCTTCATGAGGATTTTGTCTGCCTTAGTGGGGTACGTTGCCCTCCGTTTCCACTGGAGTCAGTGGGCTGTTAGGACATCCTGAGGACGAGCAGTCCAGCAAGTATTTCAGGAAGCTTGTTAGGGGCTTACTTGCAAGAGGGATGTTTTCTAGCTCTGCTGTTTGCAAAATCTCTAAAACTTTAATTCCTGCTTCTCTTGCAAAGTACAGAACTCTTAGAAATGTCATTCGTTCAGATTATTAAGGACCTGGAAGAGGAGATTGGTGAGCTGAAGAGAAGCATCCAGACACTCCGCCAGAGCGCAAGAGACCCAAGAGAGCTGATCTTCGCTGACGTTCTTCTCCGCAGACCAAAGTAAGGCTGGTCAGTGGGCATGCACAGCCCTTTCTTTGTGGCCTTGGGCTGCAGAGTCTTTGGCACTGAGTGCTACTCTTACCCCATCGTTTCCACAGACGTCACTGTTAAACCTACACCCAGCCCAGGGTATAAACCCACAGTTACGTTGGGTTCTGCTTGGGAAGGCGGCTGCAGGGTCTCGTGGTCTTGCCTAAGAGCAGCCAGGAACCAGCCACCACTCTAATACTGATGTGCTGTCAGCCTTGGTCACATCACATCTCTCTTCTGGGCTTCCCTTTGTGCAGCCTGCAAGTGGGGATTATTAGTGGCTGCAGCCAGGGACAGCCAGGACCAGCAGAGCTTTTCGAGGCCTTTGTGCCTACGCTGACTCTTACTTTATTGTTGTTTTCACTTTGTAGTCGGGAAACAAAACTGAGGGAAGGGGGCAGGCTCCCAAGGAGCATCCCTGTCAGGGCAGGCCTTGCCCATCTAGAGCCGCCTTGCTGGTTGCGTGAAATGGCACCAGCGCTCTGTGAGAACAAAGACGGGCAGCCATTTCCCTCATATCTAAAAAAATGCGTTGGCGACATCGGCTGGCAGCAAAAAGGCAAAGCTTTGTTACCTTCCTCACTGCTCTTTTCCCTGCCCCAGTTCACTGGTAGCTAATTACTTCCCGAGTGGAGGTTGTGAGTAGTCCCCACTCCTGCTTACCAGTGTGCGCTGCGCTGATACTGGATATAAGAATTACAAAGCGTAAGGCGAATCCTCACTTAGCGTCGGTGGGGAGAAGGCCCTGCTAGCTCGGTCACAGGAATGCTGGGCTCTCCTCTCCAGGGACAGACCCGGGCTGGCCAAGTCTAGGCTGAAGCATACCAACAGCCAGCTGTGAGAAGCTATTTTCCACCATACCCATGGCAGGCTGAAGGCGTAACGCTGCCCCTTGTCCCGTGGCAGCAGGGTCCCGCACAGGACAGGACAAATCGCAAAAATCACAAACGATTTAGAGCTGCCGAGGTGCCTCGGCTTTCTCTGCTGCCCGCTGACCAAGGGTACAAACGTGAGGAAAAAATGGGTCACGTGTTCAAATCTCGAGTGCTGTAGCCCGAAACCCGTAGCTGTGTGCAGAACAGCGTGCATATGCGCGTTTATTTACAGCAACTCCCTATACAAATTGTTCTTGGCACAGAGACGCCTGTTAATGGAGTCATTCCTTCCCAGCGGGTCCCGGCGCTGCAGGTGCAGGCCAGCCCCTCGGCTCCTCCGCACCTCACGCGCACACGGGGGTTATTTTGCATGAAAATATCATCCCTCGGGATGAGCAGACGCTCGCCCAGCAAACCGGTGGTGGTGCGGGCGGCGAGAGGGGCTGGATCTCCCGCTCCAGGGCCGGGGTTTTAGCTGGAAGCCAGGTATGGCTGCAGCGCTGCGGAGGCACGAGCCGAAGCAGGAGGAAAGCCTGGAACGTGTCAGGAGACCGCGGGGGGAGGCGAGCGGCTGCGTGATGGATTAGTGCAACTTAATTTTTTTCCGATAAAAAAAATGATAAAAAAGGGGAATTAATTAGCCTCGACAGCTGGTGGGGCTGGGGTTACTGAGGGTGGCTGGGAGAAGAGTTAAAAATAGCAGGAAGGCCCAAGTGGAAAGTTTCTGTAACATCACAAGTCAGGCATTTGGTGCTTACCCGCCCTGACAGGCGGGAGCCTGTGCCAGAGCCCTCTCCGCCATCCCGCAGCCCTTTCCCACTGACCTCCCTGCAACTTTTCACACGACTTCACCAGCCCTTCTTTTTTTTTTTCTGATTAACCCTTTGGTTCCAGACACTGGATTTGCTTCTTGAAAGAGCAAAATCAGACACGAGCTGCGCTCGGCCTGGAAGTGTGTGTGTAGGTGCCCAGGACTCTTGCTGGCCCTCCTTGGGTCCCTGCATGCTGCGGGCAGCGCGTGGGGCCCGGAGGAGCTGTAACCCCCTGCATATCCGTTCCCATCTGCATTTCAGCTTCCCCTCGTTAAAAATCCTCTTGCTTCAAGGGAACCCGGCTGGATTTCACCGGCAGCTTCAAGCCCTGCGCTGGGGGCACTCTGGACGCACAGTTTGTCCTGGACCGAGACGGAGATGGATGAGCACAGCTCTGAGCACGCCCAGCTCGCCGTGCTTGTCCTCTCTCTGCGAGAAAACAGATGTACCTGGCTGCTCCAACGGGCTTTCTCCGCTTCTGTTTGTCCTTTGGGATTGACAGTGAGGGGCGGCTGATTTCAGTCCTTCTCCCTCTCAGAGCCCCAGGGGTTACATCTGGCTCTGCCTCTCTGGGAAGGCCAGCGAGCGCCAAGCCTGCCTTGCAGAGGGCTCACTTGTAAGCACGGTCTAAGACAGGGCCGTGGAGCAGGGCTCGGGCTTGGGGCTGATTTCTTTTGTAGGCAGAGTGCTTAGTGGCCGGGGTAGACCATGAAGGGTGAGCCGAAAAGCAAAATAGTGCCGGGGCGAGCTGGAGGTCGGGCTGGGCTCTGGTTCATGCTAGAACAGGGGCTGTGCACAACGACCCTCATCTGGTTTTAAAGGGTTTTTCCCCCTGCTCCCCCAGCTGCTTGCTTTGTCCTGTGTCCCAGAACAAGTGTCTGGTCCCTCCCCGCTGAAAACCAGTCCCGGGCCCTGGGGACGTGGAGAAGGTGGCACAGCTAACACAAGGCGGGCTTCCCTCCACCCGCCCCGTGCCCTCTGATGTCGGGGCTGCCGTGCAGGGGATAGGATGCCTCCGAGCTCTGAGTGGGCTGCACAGAGCGTCCGAGCAGTCACCCGCCTCCTGCCCTGGCCGCGCAGGAGCTTCTCCTCCTCCTCGCACCGAACCAGCCGAAGCGCGGCGGCTTACTTTCCGCTCTTTGCTTTGCCCCTCCTAACTCTCCTCTCTCGCTCAGGTGCACGCCGGATACCGAGGTGGTCCTCAGCATCCCCACCGAGGAGACGCTGCTCATCTGACGCTCGGCCAGGCTCCGCTCGCAGGCCCCTCGCCCAGCACACGGCGCAGCCGGGCTCGGATGAGGCGCCGAGCTGCGAAGCCCCTCCTTTCCCGTCAGCGCTTCTCCATCCCAGCCCCGCTCAGCCGCCTTGGGGACTCACTGGTGTGGTTACATGGTGCAGTAAAGGTGTTACCATCATTCCTGGCCCGCGTGGGCTGTGCTGCCAGTCCCTTGGAAGGAGCACGGAGTGCGCCCTGCGACCATAGCGCTCGGGGAGACAGCGCCAGCCTTCCCGCGCTTGCAGCCTGGCCTGTCCCCTTCGTGCCATCGCGGTAACGTCGGAGGGGTTGAACCCGAAAGGGGCCTCCCCGTCGCTGTGCTCTGACCATGAGAGGTGTCCTGGGACTGGCTCTGGTGCCGTGAGGCTCTGCCGGCGCATCCCAGTGTGGGCCGGACCGGTGTCCTGGCGCGGGGTCAGACCGATGCCTGCGCAGGGCCGGTGCTCGGGCACTTTGGTGCCAGTGCCAGCGGTGCCACAGCTCCCGCACGGGTCCAGGCCCGCCGACAGGTTCAAACGAAACCAGCTCCTGTTCTCACCC